CGGGTGACCGGAGCATTGGCAGGATGGCGGATCCGGTCAGGCACCATGAACGGCGGTCTCCCCGCCCATGGCTGTGCGCCCTTGACCACGGTATCCACCTCCACCCTTTAAGCTAGCGATAATATTTAAATGGGGCAAAAACGGGATCGCGTGCATACTAATACGCCCAACCGGCAAGGGTCCCACGCACTGGCCAATCATATTGACAAGAGCCCACTGGGTAATGACCCTGGGACCCCTCCCCCCCCCCCCCCCGGCCTTAACTAATCCACGTAGACTCCACGCACTCGGCGCCCATCACACTCATTCCAAGCATTCGCAAACGCTGGCGCCCACATCCTCTCATTCATTCTTGGCACGCACACGGGTGGGCCCCCCCCCCCCCGCCTTTATTTCCCGCACCTTGACATTATAATTGGCTCGTCCGCGTGGGTCCTCGTCAAGTTTAATTCATTTATCACAATTCGGTCTTGTCATAAATCTACGTTTAAGCCCCGTTCAAAGCCTATCACGCTGATTTGCCAGCTTGGCACAGACGCAGCTGCTGGGCCGACCACGAGTGTCCGAAGCTGAACGGCGACTCGTTCCCTCGCCTGACCTGCAGGGTGACGGCTCCCTATTTGGATGACGCCCCCCACGTTCCGTCCATGATGGGCGGCCCATCATTCGCACGGCCACACCCACCGCTCGCAGCTTCCCGCTGCCGCGCATGCGCCTTAGGTAGCGCCTCGTAGAGCACGGAGGCGTCGCTTCCGGCGCTTCTGCGCCCTCGCCTCCCGCCCGCCGGAGCAGGCTTTGCAAGGCACCGCCCCACGGCGCGCCCCTCAGAGGCCTGGAGGTAGACAGCGCGCTCATGGGACGGTGGAGCCTCTCGGCAGACGACGAGCGCCCGGCGCGACCCTGCGTTCACGCCTTACGGTCTCCTCGGCCGGCGCGCTCTGGAGACTCGGCCTGACCGGCCTGTCCGGCAACCTGACTCCTCGTCGTCTTCCCCTATGAGCGCCGATGGCGGGATCCCTATCCGTCCCGAACATCCCGTCACCAATCGCTCATAAGGCCCGGCGTGCACCACGTCGGAAGAGAGCGGACTGACTCCTGCCTTCTCCCACGGCGGAGACACCACGGATAGACTCCGCTACCGCCCTGCACAATCGAGCATCCCAGGCGGCCCCCACAGATCCAAGGTCACATCATGACCAATGCCTCTTTACGCCGTCACGCCTGGGGTCAAGTGGGAAACAAAACGAGTCGGCCGTCTCGAAAAAAAGGAAGCGAAACTGTGTCTTGTGCCGCGCTACCCACAAACGTCCATCTGCGTGAAAGCAGGGCTACGGTCGTCTGGCTCCTCGTCCTTGTCACAGCCACGCCGGGCTACTCGCTTGCCGGCGGGCCGCGAGCGGTGGACTGCTCCGTCCATCCACACCGCGAGAGAGTGTCATCTGCCGGCGGGTCGCGGGTGCCCGCGCCGCCATCGCACACCGCCGGGTGCTGCCCTCTACCGCGATTGCCCATGTCGACTGACAGATGGCGTCCGTGTCTCCTCCCGAACGCCGGCCCGGGCGACGCCCCGCTTGTAACCTTCCCCGGTCTCGCGAAACTGCGGGAGATCCTTCGAGATGTCGCGGGCTCGGCGCACCTCACCGCTATGCCTCAACATCCCGGAGCAGGCGGTCTCTCCTCGACCTCTAGCCTACATACCGGGGTCATGTTCGGTTCGGAGAATTCGACGCCGTTCTCCCCTATACCGAACCCTCCGGCGTCCGTGTCGGATCCATCTCGGACGAGATGGGCCTTCGCTAACGAAACAGTAACGCCGTGCATCAATTGGCCAGAGAGCGATCCAGGCCTAGTGAAAGGGAGAGGGAGACAGAAGCCGGGCAATACACGCGCTCGCTGGGGGAATCCCCGCAGCATGCGAGGAGCTAGACCGCGCTAACCTATTACGTGAGAGAGGCCGAGCATGCGCGCTGGACCGAACCCGTGAGGTTCCAGCTTATTGCCTCTAACTATTGACACTAAACCGGCTTCTAACTATTGACAAAAAAGGGGTAAGCGAAACGAGAAATGTAAGGCGAACGGTCCACCTGACCCACATCCTGCCACCATCGCATGTCGGCGCGGCCCGTACATCGCGTCTGGCCGCGACGACGGCCAGACGAGGGCCCAGACAAGCCGATGCGCCTCTGCATGTCTTCCGCCATTGGTAAGCTCCGGACGCCTACGGGGCATGTCAACGAACTGGCCGCTGCGCCCAAGCATGCGTCTAGGACTCCGGACACAGCACCGCCCAACGCCGGGCCGAGTGTCCTCTCGCCGCCCGAACCGACCTCGTCCAGCCTCGCTCCCTCACTAAGCCATCGCTATGCAAACCGATACCTGTATCCACACGCAAAGACAACGAGGCAAAACATCGCTCAAAGACTGCGACACACCAGTCCATCGCCCAGGCGAGCTCAGCGTCGAGCCGCGCGGCACCTAACACACTCACAGACTGCGACACACCAGTCCATCGCCCAGGCGAGCTCAGCGTCGAGCCGCGTGACACCTACCACACCCACCCCCGAGCCCCTCCCCCTCTCCCCGGCTCTGCGGAAGGGATCCGGTAACCGCGGCTTACGCCGCCCGGTGAAGAGAGCGTTGAAAGGGCACGCTCTGAGCGCCAGCCGTCCATGGCCCGGTGAGTTGGAAGGAGGGGGGGGGGGGGGGGGGTCAACAGCCTGGGCACTCACATCGTGTGCACTGTCTTCGGTGGCCGTTGTCCGCCGCGTCGAACGTCGCAGCCGGGTGCTGCGAGCTGGGGCCTCGAGGATCGACCTCAAGGTGCCGCGGTAGGCGTCGGGCGCACTCACTGGTACCGTCCGTACTCACTGGTCCGTACTGTCCTTACTGTCCGTACTGCCTGGTCCGTACTGTCCTCCGGAGCCTCTCGCATGACAATTTAGCAATTTTCGATACCTCTCAACTGGGTCGACCCGTCTTCGTCGTCTTGCGTGACCTCATGGGTTTGCCGCCTCGCCCCCTCCGTCCAATGCGTCACCAGGCCGGCATGCACCGCTTCCAGAGTCCGGCCCTCGACGTGCCCCTAGGTCAGATCTCGGGCGTGGCGTCGCTGGCGACGACGCAAGGTCCGCCCGCTCTCGCCTCGGGCGCACCCTGCGCGTCCCCCTTCTGGCCCAGTTCCCACGTCGCGCGGCTCTCCCGACGGCATCTGGGGCGACGGCGGCGCCGGCGCGGAGGGTGTTGTTGGGCTGAAATCGCAAACAGCCTCGCAACATGCTATTTGAGCGCTCTTGTGCGTATTTGTCTCGCCGATCGCCCGCTCTCGCCTCCAATTGTCTTGGCGCGATGGAGATTTTGGCAGGTGGGGCCGCCGTCATGGTTGTTCTGGGAGACGCATATGGTGTTGTTCTGGCGGCGTGAGTTGATCGGCCGGATCGTCGAGCCGAGCCGTATTCATCCCTCGACCTGATGGACCTGTTTGCTCGGGGGGGGGGGGGGGAGTGGGATGGAGAGGAGTGGGAAGCCCTTGACCATGGCCGGCTGGTTCGCTTTCCCACGCTCTGTGCGCGGAACCCCTCTGGTCCCGGGCGGGTGGCGCGCAAACGAAGAGCCATGAAAATGTACGCCTGCAGTGCGCCCTGAACTTGGCCGCCCGCTTTTTGAAACGCTCCTACGCCTATGGTTCTGAGATTTCACTAGAGTATGTTTTTTTGAAATGTGCGCCCAAGGCGGGACGTACCCTTCCAAGTGAAGTTGCTGACAAGCTTAGGGGGAATGGTGGCCATGCTATGATAACATAGGGTATCAAATCATTAGATATTTTAGGTACATTGAAAGGAAAGTGAGATCTAAATTCCCACAGCAGCATTCTGAGTGTCGCTCATTCATATAAGGTTTTTAATGTGATGTATTTGTCGTAACATTTGCTTGTGGCATCTCTGGCTAGGTTTTGTAGCCGACTTGTGGATTGCTTGGAGCTGAAAGCACTGCATCCTATTGGTTTGAATCTTTTATCGTGACAGTTTTCATCGAAAATTTGACGAACTATTGAGTGACAACTTTCCTTAAACTGGCTTTCACTCCGTTCAATCCGTATGAGCTGGAAAATTTGAAAATCCTGTCCGGTCCCAATTCTTGTTGTGTTGGAAATTTTTGATCCGGTCCAATCCAGCCCGCGGATTGATCCACAATCCATGGATTGATAGGATCCATGAAGTGCTCTAGTGAACGCATTGCACTCAACCGGGGCAATAGAAGTCTTCTCAAGTGCTAGCGGTGATAGAGATCGTGGTGGACAAAACTGTTTCTCGCTATTGTTTCTATTCGATGCCGACAGGTAGGACCAATGCTGAATTTTCAGAAGTTGGGGCGGTGGTGGGCAGCTGAGCTCTCATTGTGCAGAGCCTTCCAACTACGCTGGCGATGCTCACCCGCCCGGCGCTACGCCCTCTGTAGCTGAGTATTCCGGCCACGCTGGTGATACTCACCCGCCCGGCGCTACGCCCTCTGTAGCTGAGTATTCCAGCCACGCTGGTGATACTCACCTGCCCGGCGCTACGTCCTCTGTAGCTGAGTATTCCAGCCACGCTGGTGATACTCACCCGCCCGGCGCTACGCCCTCTGTAGCTGAGTATTCCAGCCACGCTGGTGATACTCACCCGCCCGGCGCTACGCCCTCTGTAGCTGAGTATTCCGGCCACGCTGGTGATACTCACCTGCCCGGCGCTGCGTCCTCTGTAGCTGAGTATTCCAGCCACGCTGGTAATACTCACCTGCCCGGCGCTGCGTCCTCTGTAGCTGAGTATTCCAGCCACGCTGGTGATCCTCACCCGCCCGGCGCTACGCCCTCTGTAGCTGAGTATTCCGGCCACGCTGGTGATACTCACCTGCCCGGCGCTGCGTCCTCTGTAGCTGAGTATTCCAGCCACGCTGGTGATACTCACCTGCCCGGCGCTGCGCCCTCTGTAGCTGAGTATTCCAGCCACGCTGGTGATACTCACCTGCACGGCGCTGCGCCCTCTGTAGCTGAGTGTGGAGCCGGCTCTGGTCAGCAGGATCAGGCAGGCGAGCACGTACGTGACGATCACCAGCAGGGCGTACACGGTGCCGTACCAGGGCGCCACGCTGTGCAGCTCGACCACCTGGCGCTGAATGCGCGCGGTGCACAGCCGCCAGAGCGCCGCCTGATGGCAGACATCCGAAACGGTGCTAGATGACATCACCGTCTCCTCGACGATAGGTGGCGCGGCGGTGCCCAGCGCGGCTGGCGTGAGCGGGGTCGAGCCGGACGGGTCCATGAGTAGTGGGTCGCACCACAGATCGCCTGCAGCCTGGCGGTCAGAGGCACAGGCTTATGCGCGATGGGTTAGCGTAGGAGGTGTGGTGATGTGAGGGGATGAGGAGCTAGCAGACAGGGCTCTGAGTGCGGCCCGACCAGGACCCGAGTTGGCATTCAGGTGTGGGGCTGATACTCTGTTGGGGAAGACTCCAGTCTTCTCAACTTCGGAGATGAAAGTGGGTTAAACCGGAGGAAAACCGAAGTTTTCATTTACTGGGGGAGGTTTAACAGCTTTCGTTACTCAGCTCCGACTTATTTTGCGAAACTACACTCTTCTCCGCAGTGATGAGCTTTTATAAGGCTAACACTGTTGTTTTTGTATTGGAGCCCGTTCGACCAGAAATGATCATTTCAGGGCTATGGGATGCAGGTAAATGGTTAACGGTGGGGCAAACTTTGCATGCCCCTCGGGGACCAAACGCCGAGGTTTAACACGCGCCTGGATGGCCGGCTAGATACCCTTCGCTTCGGGGGGTTCAATTTGACCCCCGGAGATCTCGGAAACTAAGAGAGGTATAAACACCAAATTTACAGGATGTATTGACCTTTACGTGAACTCACTTAGGTCAAAGTTTGAGGTTCCTAGATCATGACCCTTGAGTCAAGAAAGGTCAAACGAGGTCAAATTCCAGGTTGGTCCCCAAAGTGCCCCAGAACCTAGATAACTGTTTCTAAGCAAAAGGTCACATGCTTATTCAAGGTCAGTGACTTTGTTTGACCTTTTGAAGGTTATGGTGACCAAAATCATGCAAGACTGCTCTGAGTTTTGCATTTGAACAAGCGACAAAGATAACGCTAGACAGTATGTTCCTAAAGACAAAATGTTGACCTGGGTCATTTTAGGTCAATGACCTAGTCTGATCTCTAATAAAGCAACGGAAGAGGCATAATGTGGTTACTGCTATCAATGCATTCGAAATGAGCACCAAAAACTATCCCACACAGCAAGCCCTAGAGTAACAAAATAATTTGGTTTTGACCTTGGTATGACCTTCATGCCTGACCTAAGTTGAACATAATTTGCTCATTAACCATTTGTGCTGTCTAAGAAAGCATCTCAGAGATGTATGGCTTCGTTTAACACTCCGTTGACGCATTAGATTGAACAATCCCCTGGAAATGGACTTTGCTGAAACCATGGCCTGAATTTGACCCGACATAGGTCAGCAACCTTGCAAGGTACATCTAAATTTGTAAAACCAAACGATCCGCTATTTAGTTGTCTACAGCTATGCAAAATTTGGCGCGGATACACCGCGCTGTTCAGAAACCATTCTGGAAAACCCTTTGGAGGGTCAATTTGACGCCCGAGCGCGTTAACCCGCGCATGCGCGATGGGTACCCGGTCGGGGTTTCCCTTTCCACGGGGTTCTCGGCCCACTCGTGGCTGACGCATGCGGCCTGTCCCGGACAATCGGGGTGTCGCGAGTATGCAGGAGGAAGCAAGTTAGAGGATAAGAGAGTCAAATGAGCAAACACTGGTTTGGTTTGGTTTTTTGGATTAGAGCCCTTTCGACCAGAAATGATCATTTCAGGGCTATGGGATGAAGGAAAATGGTTAACGGTGGAGCAGGCTCGCATGCGCCTGGGGGGCAAACCGTCGGGCTTTAACCCGTGCATGCGCGCTGGGTACCCGGTGGGGTCCCCCTTCCCACGGGGTTCTCGGCCCACTCGTGGCTCGCGCATGCAGCCTGCCCCGGACAAGCGGGGTGTCGCGAGGATGCAGGATGAAGCGCGGTAGAGGATAAGAGAGACGGATGCGTGAGCAAACACCGTACCGAGTGAATATATTTATTTCATGGACGAATCGGCATGATAAGTATGTTGCAGCAACTTGAAAAGCAGTGGACTCTGGCACATAACCGGACTCAAGCCACAGCAAATGCGAATCAAATCCGTACCCAAATATTCTGGGGGGCCGGAGCTCAGACTACGAGATAGACTAAAACACAAATTTGCTATGACTTAATCTTGGCCTGAAACAGCATGACTATTGTGAGAACTAGCCCCGGATCCCTAGTGCCACCTACGTGCAGACTTTCGGTTACGCTTGGTTACGATTCGTCCTTCTCGCACGAACGAACACATATCACGAGCGCATACCAGACGGTGAACACGAACACACGAACAAACGCGTGTTCACACACGAACACACATCAGACGGTGAACACGAACACACAAACGAACGCGTGATGATGATGATTGGGGTTTTAGGGCGCGCTGACTGCTGAGGTCATTTTGCGCCCATAAAAGCTAAGTGGCTACCGAGGTGTATAAACGGCTGTAAATCCTGCGCTTCTCAAAAATGAAAACCGCTATCCGGTGCCAAACATGCGAGAATCGTCACCAATAAGGTCTGAAAAGGTAAGACCTGCCACATCTCGTCCGAGGTAAAGTGCCCGCTCTTCGTTGAACTGTGGGCAGGAGTGAATAACGTGGCCAGCCGCAAGCAGTGCATCACAGCGAGGACATTTAGGCCGTTCTCCACCGCACAAAAGGTAGCTATGTGTTTCGTGCGTGTGGCCAATTCGTAATCTGCTGAGGGTTACTTCTTCGCGTCTCAACTTACGTGAACTTGACAGCCATGGACCCTGTCGTGGCTTGATCACCTTTAACTTATTGCTTACAATGGCGTCCCAGCTTCCCCTTCACAAAGGTCGCGATGGCAGGGTAAAAGTCCCTTGCTGGCAAGGGTAAAGAACGGGTGCAAGGTGCACGCGCTGCCCATTTTGCGGCTGCGTCAGCACGCTCGTTGCCCGCGATACTCACATAACTCGGTATCCAACATAAGACGACAGTTTTACCAACAAGATCCAGCGCTGTCAGGCGAACTAAAATATCCTGTATAATGGGACAGGGTGGGTTAAATACTGTCGGTGCCAACAGGCTGCTCAAAGAATCGGACAAGATCACGTGTGAGTTGCTCTCACCAACCTCGATCTGATTGCAACAAGCTCAGACGTGTAAACTGAGGCATGTTTCGGTAAAGAAAAGGACCGGATGGCTAAGCCATTAACAAATGCAGCACCAACGCCCACCTCTGTTTTGGACCCATCAGTATATGTGGTTTGCAATCCTATGTACGACCCGATGTGCTCTAGGGCCTTCGATCTCAAGTCGCACGGGATCGCTTCTTGTTTGCTGATGCATGAAAAGGCTGCATCCACTTTCAGTGAGATTAGCCTCCCATGGAGGCACCAATACGGGACGCAACCTTAACACACCACGCAAACTTATGTCGCTTTCCCGCAGAAGCTTCCTCATCTGAACACCAAATGGAATAGCGGACGGCCTTCCGCTACTTTGGAACATGCTTTCAACGTCGCGTGAAAACATTGCTCGGTGAGTCGGATGACTTGGAAATTGAGCCAGCTTGCAAAGGTACCGCATGCCAAGCATTTCCCTCCTCAGTGCCAAAGGCGGTTCATTTACTTCCCCGGTAAGGCTAGCAGCTGGCGACGTGCTGAACGCCCCCGTCACAATGCGTAATGCAGTATGATGTACGGTGTCTAATAAACGTCTGCAAGAACCCGGCGCGCGGTCATAAATAAAACAGCCATAGTCAAGTTTCGAACGTATAATTGAGCGGTAACGCAGTAGCAGTGTTCTTCTGTCCGCTCCATAACATGTTCGAGACACATACTTCAATATGTTCAATGCTTTAAAACAGTTGTCACGTATATTTTTCAAATGTGACTCAAACGTCAAACGGTTATCAAACTGCAGACCCAAGAAGCGGGTACTGGATTGGTTCGGAATGGTCTGGCCGTATAGCCTTAAAGCCATGGCGGGGCATTGACGACGTCGTTTGCAAAAGTGCATAGCGACTGTTTTCGAAGACGAGAAACGTAGTCCGTTTACAACACTCCATCTTTCCAAGCTGATCACAGCCGACTGCACGCAACGCTCCAAATAAGCCAAGTTTGACGAGGCGTACCAGATGGCGACATCATCCACGAAGAGAAAGTGACTGGCCGACTTTGGAAGGGATACACCAATATCGTTTGTCATCATAGCGAACAAAACGACGTTCAGAACACTGCCCTGGGGCACGCCATTCTCTTGTTGGCATCTGTCCAAAAAGTGTGAGCCAACACGAATTCTGAAAAAAAACGATCAGTCATAAAGTTTGCTAAGAATGTGCCCATGGCTCCTCGAATACCATAATGAAAGAGCTTTTTGAGGATCCCGTAACAAAACGTCGCATCATACGCTTTTTCAACATCGAAAAACAGCACCAACATGTCGTTTTTCCCTAAAACCGGTGCGGGTGTTCGTGTCGAGAGTTATAAGATGGTCAATGGCGCTGCGATTTTTCCTGAATCCACATTGAGCAACCGTGAAAACGTTGCACCGCTCCAAGAACCACGGCAAGCGTGCATTTACCATACGTTCCATCAACTTGCAAATGCATGATACCAGTGAGAAAGGGCGATAGTGGGCAGGGTCAGCCCCACTCTTACCGGGCTTTAGCATAGGGACAATGTGTGACGCACGCCAAGACTCCGGAAAACTTCCAGTCGCCGAGAGATTGTTGTAAGGTGCTAAAAGGGCCTAAACTACTGAGGTGGGGAGTTACTTAAGCATGGCGCTGCGAACTAGATCCGGACCCTCTGCCACGTTGCGCAGCGATCCGATCGCGGAAATTAGTTCGGCCATTGTAAAAGGTAGGTTGTACGACAGCTGCTCCATCGTGCTGAAGTCGACTGGGGATGCCTCGTAGCGGATCCGGTGACGTGTAAACTGTGGAACGGCACTGCCGTCACCACACCGTTCGGAGAATGCGCGAGCGGTTTCATTTGCTACGTCAGCTGGGTGTATAATGTCACGTCCATTGATACGGAGCACAGGGTGTGGTACAGACGAGCGCTGTCCAGCAATGCGTTTGATCCGCGCCCATACACTGGAGGCAGGTGCTTGGCAGTTAAGTTGGCCGACGTACGATCGCCAAGATGCCCGCTTAGCCTCTAGAATGGTGCGTCTAGCAGCCGC